ATAGTTGTCTAAATGGAGTACATTTAACATTAAGGAAAATCCTGCTATATTATTCTTGTTTTTCTCATTTTACCTCACTACGTTAGTTTTCTATTGATGCTGCAACAAATGTCCACAAATTAAAACACCACAACCACACATTGTCTCACAGTCCATGGCCATAAATCCAGGCCTGCATGACTCTGCTGAACCCTCTGCTCAGAGCTTCCCAAGGCCAAAATCAAGGTGTTAGCTGGGCTGGGTTCTGGAGGCCCGACTGTTCAGGTTATTGGCAGAATTCAGCTTCAAGCCAGCAATGGCACGTCAAGTACATCTCATGCTTTGAACCTCTGATTACCCCTCTGCTATCAGCCAAAAATCATCTCTGCGTTTCAGGGCTTGTGTGAATATACTGGGCCACCTGGGTGACACTTTAGGGTCAGCTGATCAGTAACCTTAATCACATCTTCAAAGTCCCATTTGCCACAAAACATAACATATTCCTGAGAGTAAGACCATGGATGTCATGGGAGCCAGAATTCTGCCCTCCACACAGTCTGGTGGAAACTGAGTCAGATAAACTTTTGCACCTCGAATACCCATGGCCAAATATGCTCAGAGTTTTGAGTTGATGTATTCAGAAGGTATCTGTGAGAAGTCAGGAAATCATTATTAAAGAAGAGTCTTGCAGGGACTTGGTACTGGGGAAATGTTCGCTTAATAAACAGGTATTAATAAGTTCATTGTTGCTAATACTATTTTAATGCAGCTTTGATTATAAATCTTATGGTACTGTATCATCATGGTCATTAGTACAGATTAGAAAGCAAGCTAAAGTCATTCCAGGAATGTATTAAAATGGAAAATGATTCAGTAAATCATGTTAGAAACAATTAAAACATGAATTGCTCTGTTATATCTGCTTCTGCTCTGCCCACGAAGGAAGTTTTGCTTTCAATCAAGGAACAGGAACAATTAATAGAGGGCCCCAAGAAACAACAAGAATTTCATCTTTCTTCCTTCTGACCTCCCTCCTTCCTGCCCATCTTTCTCTCCTTCTCTCTTTCTCTTGCCTGCTAAGTCACTTCAGTCGTGGCCAACTCTTTGCGACCCTATGGCCTGTAGCCCACCAGGCTCCTCTGTCCTTGGGACTCTCCAGGCAAGAATACTGGAGTGGGTTGCCATGCCCTCCTCCAGGGGATCTTCCTGACCCAGGGATCGAACCCACATCTCTTAAGTCTTCTGCATTGGCAGGCAGGTTCTTTCCCACTAGTGCCACCTAGGAAGCCAGGTAGCTACAAAATTTTAAGTTAAATTAAAATTTTCAAATTTAATCATTTCTTGAACCTTTGCAGAGTACTGTCCACACTCTCTAGGCTGACGTCCAGAGCGCTCTTTAGCCTTAGCCCAGGCACTGTGTCCTCATCCTAGGTCTTAAGCACCAGCCCCCGGAGCCCGCCCTGGCACTCCCCCGCGGCGCCTCTGCCCCCGCCCTGAGCCCTGCCCGCCCCTCCTGGGGCCACCTGTACCCTTGCCTCACTGGCCAGTGCGATCTCTGGGGCCAGGAACCACGTTAGACCCATGTTTCCATCGCTGTTGACACCCACTGTGGCTCTCAGCCCGGAGTCCTTCAAACAGAGGAGGAGAGAGGGGCAGGTACTACCCCGCGCTGGTCCCACCTGGCGTCACCTGAGGGGAAGGGAGGAGGCAGCGAAGGGAAGGAGGCAGACAGAGTGGAGAGGGATATGAGGAAGTAGGACGCGGGGGACCATACGCAGGGGGGAAGTCACTGCGCCCCTTGGGCATCCCGCAGACCCTTCCTGGGTCCTTGGGGACTTGGGGATCCCTGTGTGGATCCTGGGGAGCCGGCAGCAGAGACGGTGACCGAAAGCCTTGTCCTCGAGGTGGCTTCTTTTTAATTAAAGGACAGTGAATACACAGAAAAACAAGAGCAGAAAAGATGACTTCAGATAATTTTAGGAACCCATCATGGCATTAAACGGGGTGGTGTGTTAGAGCGTGACGGGGTGGGGACCATCTCGGGGAAGGCAACGGTGGAGGCTTCCTTGAGGAGGTGACGGCTCAGCTGAGACTTGAATGACAGGAGTGAGCCGCGCTGAGAAGCGAGCAAACGGCGTTCTCGTCACAGTAAAAAGAATTTCTTGAACCTTTGCAGAGTACTGTCCACACTCTCTAGGCTGACGTCCAGAGCGCTCTTTAGCCTTAGCCCAGGCACTGTGTCCTCATCCTAGGTCTTAAGCACCAGCCCCCGGAGCCCGCCCTGGCACTCCCCCGCGGCGCCTCTGCCCCCGCCCTGAGCCCTGCCCGCCCCTCCTGGGGCCACCTGTACCCTTGCCTCGCTGGCCAGTGCGATCTCTGGGGCCAGGAACCACGTTAGACCCATGTTTCCATCGCTGTTGATGCTCCGGCTCTCAGCCCGGAGTCCTTCAAACAGAGGAGGAGAGAGGGGCCGGTACTACCCCGCGCTGGTCCCACCTGGCGTCACCTGAGGGGAAGGGAGGAGGCAGCGAAGGGAAGGAGGCAGACAGAGTGGAGAGGGATATGAGGAAGTAGGACGCGGGGGACCATACGCAGGGGGGAAGTCACTGCGCCCCTTGGGCATCCCGCAGACCCTTCCTGGGTCCTTGGGGACTTGGGGATCCCTGTGTGGATCCTGGGGAGCCGGCAGCAGAGACGGTGACCGAAAGCCTTGTCCTCGAGGTGGCTTCTTTTTAATTAAAGGACAGTGAATACACAGAAAAACAAGAGCAGAAAAGATGACTTCAGATAATTTTAGGAACCCATCATGGCATTAAACGGGGTGGTGTGTTAGAGCGTGACGGGGTGGGGACCATCTCGGGGAAGGCAACGGTGGAGGCTTCCTTGAGGAGGTGACGGCTCAGCTGAGACTTGAATGACAGGAGTGAGCCGCGCTGAGAAGCGAGCAAACGGCGTTCTCGTCACAGTAAAAAGCAAGTGCCAAGCCCCGGAGGCAGGAGGGAAATTGCTTTTCCTTTCCAGGATCAAGAAGGAGGCTGGTGAGGCCGTGCTTGGTGAGCGAGGGAGAGAGTGGAGGGAAATCAGGTCAGAGTGGGAGGCAGGGCTAGATCTTGTGGCTTCTTGCATCCATTATGTTAAGGAGGGTGAAGAATATCATACCAAACTATAGTCAGTAATACAAAACAGTTATTATATAAGCCAGGTAGAGCGCTCTCTAACAGCCCTGCGTTAGGGTTATCTGATGGGGAGGAGGGTGAAATTTAAGGCCCAGACATCTTACAATTCTCTAAAACTGGTAAGATGTGCCGGTTTTCAACAATTTCTGTCCCTAAAGGTGGTCGCTTTATTGCCCCATGGGACATTAACCAGTTTTGTATCTAATTTAGCAGTGTTATTTCTTGTTTTTCCATTCCCTATAAAAAAATCCCTATCACAAATTTTCGTTTGACTCCACCTTGTTGTCCAGCAGATTCCCTTTACTAATGAGTTAAATAAAAGGTTGATGTGTACCCACTATTGATTTTCATGAGAATTATGTTTTTAACCTTTTGAGAATTATATTCTGATAGTTTGGGTTTTAAGGGCACAGAAAGCAGCAGAGTAAAAAGGACTAATTTATGTTTTACAAAGAAGCCTCAGACTGTGATGTGATGATCAGGCTTAGCTGGTCTCAGGGGAGCAAGACACCCCGTTCGCAGCCAATCCCTCTGTCCAGGGAGAGATGGCCCCCGACTGGATGAGGGAGGAGGAGGTGGAGAGGAGGGAGGTGAGCTGTGACTGACTCCCGACATCCGAGGACATTTGTGCTTGTTCATCTCCATAGCGGGTCACCAGGATCTGCTTTCCTCTCTCGCATGCGAGCTCCTTGGCGGGGGCTGCGTCCAAGTTTCTCTGTTCAGCCTCCAGCCCTGGGCTGAACACAGGGCGATGCTTGGCACGTGTCTGCTGAGTGAATTCTTCCACTTAGATTCACCTCATGCTCCTCCCCCTTTTTTATTGTGATAAAATATATATAACATTAAAGAATGCCACTCTATTTCTGGGTGTACAGTTCAGTGACATCAAGTATATTCACCCTGTTGTGCAACTATCAACCCCCCCCCCATCCATTTCTAGAATGTTTCCATCATCCCAAACTAAAATGGAACTCATTAAACACTAATCTCCCCATTACCCCTCCTCCAGCCCCTGGTAACTTTCTATCTTTGTGAATTTGACTATTATAGGTACCTCATGTAAGAGGAATCTTATATTTGTCCCTTTGTGTCTGGCTTATTTCACTTAGCATAATGCCTTCAAGTTTCATCCACGTTTTAGCATGTGTCAGAATTCCCTTCCTTTTTTAAGGCGGAAAAATACTCCATTGTTTGTGTAAATCACAATTTGTTCATCCATTCATCTCTTGATGAATATTTGGGTTGTTTACACTTTTCGGCTGCTGTGAACATGCATATACAAATATCTCTCTGAGTCCCTGCTTTCAGTTCTTTGGGGTATATACCCGGAAGCAGAATGCTGGATCCTGTAATAATTCTGTTGAATTCTCTTTTGGAGAACTGCAGTATTGTTTTCTGTAGGAGCTGCACCATTTTATATCCCTACTAGCAATGCATCAAGATTTCAGTTTCTCCACATCCTTGCCAATACTTCGTTTTCTGCTTTTTTGATCATAGCCATCCTAATGGGTGTGGATTTAATCTTCTTTTACAATACAGATGACCATGATGGGAGAGGCCCAGGTTGAGGGGCTTGGGGGCCCTTTCCTCAGTGTGGTCTGAAGGAAGATAGCGAGGAGCCTAAGGTCCTAGATTTGGAGGGCGCTCAGAGGGAGGAGAAGCGGAAAGAGGGCTCCTGAGACCACACCTGATTGTGCTCACAGTATGGGCTCAAGACTGGCTTGAAGCGAGGCCTCGGGATAGGAGAACCGATGCCCAGGTTCCCTTGAGGGAGCTCTGTTTGTGTGAGCGTCCCTGGGCAAAGCTCTTTCTCATTCTGGCTTCTCTTTCTGTGTTGCTCCCCAGTGTGATAATGCAAAAGGCCTGAAAGCCTTCTACGATGCAATAAAATACGGGCCGAACCACTTGATGGTGTTTGGAGGAGTCTGTCCGTCTGTTACGTCCATCATCGCAGAGTCCCTCCAAGGCTGGAATCTGGTACAGGTAAGGTCTGGGCCCCCTTTGGCGGGGGAGCTGTCTTTGATTGGCCGCTAGTCTTTTGCAGGGATGGCTCCTTGCCCAGCATGGCTCCTAAATTGCCAGGTTCAGGCCTCGCCCGCTGTTTTCTGGATGGTTGCACAGCCTTCCACTGTCCTCACCTCGTGACCTGATTCTCTGTCCTGTCCTGGCCCACACAGGGGGTCTCTAAAGGGTGGCCCTGACACCATCCCTGTGTGTCTGAGATATATCAGTGACTCCCTAGCATGACTTTCAGGGCCATCGACGTCACACTAGTCCGCCTGTCCAGCCTCGTCTTCTATCCCCGCCACTCCCTCCATGCACAGCCCGCCTTTCCTTAAGTGCACCCAAGACCGTCAGCCTCAGGGTCCTCCTCTAGTCATTTCCTTAACCCCAAGACCTTCAGCCTCAGGGTCCTCCTCTAGCCATTTGCTTAACCTGGCCATCCAGACCTCCCTCCCTCACTGAAATGATTTGGTCTGCTAAGACTGCCTTTCTCCTTGGTTAAGCCTTTCCTGGTGCTTTTGGCTGTTACTCACTCTTTACACTGGCAAATGTTATACACTGTCAAACATTCCACCAGTGAGTATATGGTCTGTTGCGGGTGAAAATCACCAGTGCTAACTCTTATTTGGAATGTGAGAGAGAAATATAAAAAATGAGAACCTAAGATGAGTGGTGGCCCTGTCACATGTTTTATTTCTTTGCTTCATCCATCCATCCACCATCCATTCATCCATGCAACAAATATAATACAACTTACTGTGTGCCTGGAATTTGGGTAGACACTGGGGATATAGTGTTGGACAGGACAGGCATGATTCCTACCCTTTCAGAGCTTACATTCTAGGAGGGAGGCAGGCAGTAAGCAAATAAACAAGTAAGTTGTAATAATACTAAGAGCAATACTTGTGTAGTATGTATGTCAGACTTGCAGCATATCGGACACCATTCTGAACCTGTATTTCCATTAACCCATTTACTCACTGTAGCTGCTCTATGCTGTCGGTACTATTAGTAACCCATTTTATGATAAGAAGACAGAGGCACACAGAGGCGAAATAACTTGCCCAAGGACCCACAGCTGATAGGTAATACAGCCAAGATCTAAACCCAGGCAGTTTGACCCTTGAAATAAGACTGGGGTGAGGGAACGGCTGGAACAGAAGCGAGCAGGCTGAGAGGTAAACAGTGACTGTCCCCCCCGCAGGAAGGGCCCCTCGGAGGAGCTCAGACCTGAAGGGCGAGACGGGCTTGGTGGGGTGAGAAGTAGTCTACGTCAGGATGTAACAGCATGCATGTAGCACATGTAATAGCACAATAGCCTGTGATGGGAGTGAACCTGGCTTGCTGGGGGAACAGCAGAGACGACCCTGGGCTGCAGTGTGGGAGTGGGAGGGGGGCGTCAGGGTGGGGAGGGTGAGGATGAAGGGGTGGGCAGGAGCCAGTCCCCAGGGAGGTCTGGCTTCATTCTGTTCACAGTGGCGGAAGTCCCCTCTGAGTCCACCCCTGGGTGGATGGGGTGCTGAGGGTGGAGCCCCAGGCTGGGGGCCCAGAGGGGAGGGAGGCCGCAGTGGCAGCGCTGTGGCAAGGGAAGGGCGGGGTCCCCGGGGAGAGCCACGCACTCAGCCAGCGCTGGGTTCAGGAGGGCTTCTCAGGGGAGGTGGCATGGAGCCGGCTGCGCAGGAGGAGAGAGCGTTGGACAGCTGGGGACGTGGAGGAGCACGCTGCTGGCGGAGGAAACGGGGCGGGCAAAAGCGGGAGGCGGGAAGGAACGTGGGCTCGGGGAGCAGTGAGTCACTCACTGTGGCCGGAGCAGGCCACGCGGAGTGTGGGTGGATGCAACCGCGGTTGAGGCCAGGAAAGCAGCTCAGCGTGCTTTGGTGCAAACCTAGCCACGTGATGGGACCCAGCGCAGCTCAAGTGTGCCGAGGGCCCCTGGCTTCCCAGGGGCACCTGTCTGGGGTGCCGCCGACAGCCTTGAGACCTTAGAGGAGTCAGGAACCTTCTCTGTCCTTGAGCAGCCTCTCCCCAGCTCCCCGGAGCACGCCAGCCTTCCCTGTGGGCCGCAGGGCAGTAAGAGAGTGGACCTCACAGGACCGCTGTGTGGGCTGAGCTAGTAAACAGGGGTTAGAACTGTGCCCTGGCGCGTCCTCAGCAGTAAGGGTTTCTTGTTTTATTGCTGCTGACACCCCGCCCCGCCTTCTGCTGCTCCCAGAGTTGATTATCCACTTGCATACCCCCGCTACTTCCTTGTCTTTCCTGAAGCACTGTTCCCACCACCTGAAATATCCCATTCTCCCCATGACATATATGCCAAGACCAATCCCATCTCAGAGTAGAGATTAAATTCTGCCTCTTCTAGGAAGCCTTTACTTATTGCACTATCTAGAGTAGCCGCTCTGGAAATTCTTTTCCTCCGTTTCCCCTGTTTATTTCTAGCAGAGCGTGTACACAGGCCACCCCGCCCCAAGCCCCTCGGCCTTTCCCCTTCTTGGGACTTTGCAGGTCCGGGGACATATTTAGTTGGGCTGTGAATTCCTAGAGGACAGGAAACGGCCTGCGTTATTCCTGTTTTTTTCTGATGCCTCTCACTTCACAGACCTTATTAGGTGTCTGTTGAATAGTCAGAGGGAGGGAGCCTGGGAGGGATGGAAGGATCTGCAGATGGATGTTTTGCCCTGACGTGAGAGACCAAGTTCCCTGGAAAATCCCCATCCAGAGAGGAATCCAGGAGCTTCCTGGCCGTCTCACAGCCTCACTGGGAACCGTCTGCCCCTCAGAGTCCTCTAGGAGCTGCAGGAGCAAGCACAGCGCTGCACACGCCTGTCTCGGCAGCTAGTAGGTCTGCAGCCTTCGTATGCACACGAGGGCCTCTGGCCTCGAGAAGCTGACAAGACAAGAAATGGGTTACGAGGTGAGGGCTGTATTATGTATTGCTTCCCTGATGGCTCAGTGGGTCAAGAACCTGTCTGCAATGCAGGAGACACGGGAAGCACAGGTTCGATCCCTGGGTCAGGAAGATTCTCTAGAGGCGGAAATGGCAGCCCACTCCAGTGTTCTCACCTGAAAAATCCCATGGACAGAGGAGCCTGGCGGATCTGTGGTGTTGCAAAGAGTCGGATAAGACTGAAACGACTTAGCACTCATACATACAGTGCAGAAACAGTATATCTGTGGTATTACAATTTCATGAGTGTGGTGGGATTGGGAAAAATACAGGTTTCTTAGGAGAATGATAATGAAAAAAAGATTGAAGAATGTGGTTCTACATCACTTCCATATCACATACCGTGTTCCGTTAATAAATGGATTACATTGTGTGGAGAATAGTCTATCCTGTATCCAGATGTTTCCTGCTAGACTGTAAGCTTCTTGGGGGCAGAGGACTCTCGTTTTCTTCATCTCCTAGTCACCAGTGCCCAGCACAAGGCCTGCTGGGTACCAAGGAGGTCCTCACAGAGAGCTACACTGAACTAGCTGCAGGGAGTCAGTGCGGGGTCTGAAACCCTCCGTGGCAGGGTTCCTCACGACATGGACCTGACCACGAGCAGGCCAAGGACTGGGGAGAACAATGCAGCTCCGCAGGGTCCCTCTGCATTGTCGACGGGCGATTCTCGTCTCCATCCCCCGCTGCTCTGGGCATCTGCTACCGGACGCTGGGGCAGATCCAGGGCTCCAGCTGTGCACGGGTGAGGGACACGGAGGGGCTAGAGCTGGGTGGTGCCCAGCAATTTGGAGAGTTCCGGGGGCCTGAGTCACAGGGGGAGCTCAGAATACACTTCTCCCAGCCAGAGAAGCCAGGCAAGGAGGAGGTAGGACAAAGATGTGGGTCTGGATGGAGAGTAGCTCTGGAGGATTTCTGCCCCCCTACTCTTGGAGAACACAGCCCCATTTGCTGTGGATTGGATTCTGGGGGCCCCCCACCCCCTGAGACTGAGTTTGAAGGGACGGTGGAGGACTGGGTGGGTGAGTCTGCTGTCACTCAAGGGATTTGATCAGTCCCTTAACTTATTCAAAACTGGGCTCTGAAACAGAGTTTCACAAATGGGAAAATGCATGTAATTTGTGTAATTGAAAAGGAGCTCTGACTGCCCTTTGGGGGAACAATGCTTGCTGGACAGAGGCAGCCTGGAATGCGCAATCAGTTGTTTCTGTTTCCTGCTGCTACAAAAATAGAGATTTGCGCCACAAAGGGGTGAAAATTCACCCTGGTGCTAAAATCAGTTAAATTTAACTTTTGCCTTTTGCCGGGCTTCTTGATTCATGGTTGCTGCGTCGAGAGGCTAATATTGTTTAAGTCGTGATGTGAGTCACTCGGAGCATCAGCTCCTCCAACTAGAGCGGAGGATCTTCATGGAGTCCAGGGTGGCAATGCGGGCTCTGTCCCTGTCCTCCTGGTCAGATCCCACTCAGGGTGCGGGCTCAGATCTGGGCCTCACCCCGCGGGAGCCCCACCAGGGCATAGCCTTGGGGGGCATCTGGGGAGGGGAGGGTTCTGGCTGTTGGAGGGCTGAGCGTGTTCAGCCTGGAGAGCCTGTGGGGCCGCTGGGGGGACAGAGGAGTCCTAGCCCCCGGGTTGCGTGGCTCTCTGAGAGACTTGGCCGGGTTTCTGAGATGTGGGTGGGGAGATGCAGGAGCAAGGCGGAAGTGAGAGGGAAGCAGGGCTTCCCTGCAGTCATGCCCTTGCTGCTGGAGGCATCGGGCATGGAGCAGGCTTCCTGGCTGCAAAGTAGTGAGTTCCCTGCTGCCCAGTTTCCCCTAACATTCTGGTCTCACCGGTCCTACTGTTAGGGAGATTTAATACCCAGAGTAGGCATACACCAGGTTGCTGGCTGTCACACTATATGGTGAGTGTCATTTATGAGGGCCAAGGATGCGCTCCTGTTAATGCAAACATCCGGCTCCACCCTGAGCAGGTCCAGGTCAAGGGACTCATCACATCCTTCAGGGACTATGGCCCCCGCTCCTCATGCCCGCTGTCG